CGTTTCCCCGGAGAGCGATAGCAGCTGGATCAGACTAATCTAATACAGCCCCGCGAGTCTGGGGAGCCATCCGTTGCTTATCAGATCTTTTCATTCAATAACATTGAGAGCGATGCCAGCTCATCGAGTCACATGAACTATTTTCTAGTTCTGTTCCTTTTTCTTTGACTTTTGCGAGTGTGTGTGTGTGTGTGTGTGTGTGTGTGTGTGTGTGGTCTTGCAGACTCGATGGATGGCTGCTCCACTGACTGTAACGGAAACGGAGAGTGCGTTGCTGGACACTGCCACTGCTTTGCTGGGTTCCTGGGTCCTGATTGTGCCAAAGGTAAGAAGTGTTTACTGGGGAACCGGCCTGGAGTGAATGAAAAGTATAGAAAAGCCAAAACTATGCAGAACAAAACCAAAAACCTCGAAACAATCAGTGATGTTGCTTATTTTTGTTGCCACAAGTTAGTTTTGTACAGTTTAAGAGAACAAACAACAGTAACCCGTTTGGCTAAAAACAGCCTATTTACCTGCTCTACCTTTATTAGTACAACGGCATGATGGATTTGATGTCTGAAGTCTGTTGCATTTCTGTCTGAGGTGTTTGTTGCAGAGCAAAGCTGCCCTCCCTGTGGAGGGTAACTCTGAAGTGCCTTTTTTCCTCCACCTGAACCAATCCTCATGTAACCCTCTGATCTCTATTAAGGTAGAGCGACTCGGGTTGCAAATGACCACAGTCACCAATTCTTGTCATGTGTCTATGCCCATGTTTGTCTGATCTCAGAATTGTGTGTACTGAAACTCTAATTTCCCTCTGGGATTAATAAAGTATCTCTGAATTGAATTTGATACAATACGAATAGCGATACAGGGGAGACGATGTGACGTGTCATCATATACATGCGATACATTCAGCCAGACGATCTATCCATCCATCCATTGTCAGCCTCTTATCCAGAGTCGGGTCGTGGGAGCAGCAGCCTAAGCCGAGATGCCCAGACTTCCTTCTCCCCAGCTACTTGGGCTAGCTCTTCCGGGGGAATCCCTGGGTGTTCTCTGGCCAGCCGAGAGACGTAGTCCATCCAGAGTGTCCTGGGTCTTCTCTTTGGTCTCCTCCCAGTTGGACATGCCTGGAAAACCTCACCAGGGAGGCGTCCAGGAGACATCCTGACCAGATGCCGAGCCACCTCAACTGGCTCCTCTCAGCCAGACGATATTAGCAATTTTGTTTAGACTGAAATTATTGTAGGAATATTCAATAAACTGATATGTAACGTGTTTAACATGAGGTATCTGAACCATAATAGAGGGATCTACATTCCAATGGTGGAAACAAAACCCTCTGCACACTGCTGCCCACTAGCGGCCGATGCTTGAATTGCACCAAAAGAAAAGAAAATACACAAAAGTTTGCATGTAAATCCTTCCAAAAATTTGATACATGGCTTTTGAATATTGATATAAAATGGCAGGAAATATTATTGTGATATATTGCTATATCAGTATTATTATACATCCCTAGTAGTCATCCTGATTCATGATGGCTGCTGAAGCTAAACGATGAAACAAAAACAGCAAATAAATAAAGGTAGATGAAGATGTTTGCTGCACTGTTAATACATGAGTCAACACAGTAGCGGTTTTAGGCACGGGCAGACAGGGCAGTTGCCCGGGGCGGCATTTTTTTCATGACACAAAAGGGGCGCACAAGCGCGGAGTAAAAAAAAAAAAGGAAATCTGCGCCGCACCGAGGTTTTCTATTATCTGTCATATGACAGTGTCTGGATTGGAAACAGCAAGTTGGCGCCCCCTGCAGCTGCAGGCGCTCCTGCTGACTGAGAACGTTCACGTGCACCGTGTGTCTATGAAGAACAGGAAGGGGAGGGGTGCGGCGGGGGAATTCACCAGGGGCTGAATCAACTGTATAAACATGGCTAAAGTCAATCACATCTTAAAGTTCTTCCATATTTCATTCATAATATCATAAACACAGGCCTATCATTCTTTCAGGTTTCTCTGAATTGTGTGAAATGGCCGAATAAAAAAAGGAAAAACAAAACGATTTTGTGGTCACCCCCCCATCAAGGTCAAATAGTTTAGTCCTGACTAAAGGAAACTTACTGAGTCAGGAGCCAAACAGAAGAGATGAACATAAAAAGGCTAAAACCACCAGGTGCCCCCATTCAGGGGAAAAAAAAGAAAAAAGAGCAGAAAGATAAAGGCATGCTCTCATGATGCATGTTTTCAATTTTTTGAACCAGTTAACTGGGATTTTAACGGTTAAATGCAGTCAACTAATTGCTAACAGAGCTAATAGGGCTGAAATATTGAAACGAATATTCAAAAGGTTTGAAGAAAGTCCTTGAATCGTTTTTTACTGATTCAAATTAGGATTTGTTAAATGCTCGCTGCAGCCTGCGGCCTGCCTGAACAACAAACACAAGTTGATCATGTTCACATAATAATAAATAAAACAACTGTACAAGCAGAAGAAAACACCCCAGTCACCACTAACTGTTTATTTATTGCAGATGGCTGCACTGATTATTTTTTACCTGGTTTGTTCTGTAAAAGTTGACATTTTTGGTAGTCTACAGTTTTTTTATGTCAGTTTAAATTACAATTTCAGAGGCAATTCTAAAATATTATGGATCATGAGATCTATTGGAGATCTACCCCAACTTTTGGACTGCTCTGCCAGTCACTGTGGCTCAAGCTGAGAGGAGCTTTTCAAAACTTGATCAAGTCATACCTGAGGTCACCTATGTTTCAGGGGCGGCTCACTAACCTGGCTCTGATTAGTATCAATCACTCAGTAGGGAAGCAGATTTCATATGATGACATTATTGATGACTTTGCATCAAGGTTAGGTTTTGATTTTAGTTTGTGTTTTCTGTTCTAAGTGCAATGCTGTAGTGATTATCTTTAGTTTGTTACGTGTGAAATATTTTTGCTATTTAGAATATTTATTATCTATTATGTTCAAATATTCTTAATATTTAGTTATTGTTTGTTTTTGTATATTTGATTCTATATATTTTGATACAGTTTATAATGTATAGTGCTTTACATTCTGACAACTTCATAGTAATTAATGTAAATATGTGCAACTTAGAAAAATGAATGTTCAATAGTCGTTCTAATAAAACATGCCTGTTTGTAGAAAACATGCGTGTGTTCATGCAGGTGGGGTGGTGTGGTGGTGGTGGTGGTGGGGGGGGCGGTTGGGGGGGGCGCTCAAAGGGGGCCTCGCCCGGGGAGTATTCGATGTAGAACCGCCACTGAGTCAACATATGAAAATAGAATAAAGAAGCTTCTAGTCGTTCTAGTCGTTTCTCAACATAAGACGATCTAATTTAAAATTCTGATCTGAACTGTGATGTGTGATTCTTCCAAGAATTTTTCACTGCATTAATGCATTAAGGTGTTTATCAAATTTGTCCTAATGTTAATTAAATCCCCGCGCTCTTTCGGTTTTCTGCTCTGGCTAAACCAGAACTGTTCCCACTAGAACACCACTAATCACGTGCACTCATCTTAGAACCACTGCAATGAAAGAAGCTCCTTCCACACAACCACGTTTCACAGCTCCGTTCACCATCTATTTCCTGTTTATGCCGATTTCTGAGTCACTACTAAAGGAGGAAAATTACCTCAACATTTCCTGCAGGGTTGCTTCACCATACCAGACGTGCTAAGACTCGACGGGACTCGCCTGTTGTCTTCTTGTGAATGTTTGATCATGAGTTTTTTTCAGTTTTAATTACGGATGTGTCGTTCAGATATCGATATCGGAAGTGATTCAATATTGGCCCAAAATGTGTGCCTTTTTTCCCTCCCCCTGACTCTATCCTCAGATAAACCCTCTTGATCTATAACGGTGGAGCGACTCGTGTTGCGAATGACCACAGTCAACAAATCTTGTCATGTGTCTATGCCTATGTATGTCTGATCTTGGAATTGTGTTTTGGAATTGAATTTCCCTCTGGGATTAATACAGTATTAATAAAGTTTTTTGAATTGAATTTGAATTTGAAAACTGTGTATCGGATTATATCGGACAGCATCACAAATCTCCGATAGAAGCAGACCATTAAGGTTCACACTTTTGCAACCAGTGGTTAAGAAAAACATATATTTTTTCATACTTACTGTTATTGGCTCTTGTTCTCCGATTGAACAACATCACCTGATCGAGCCTTTCGTACATTCCACACTACGAAATAGGTAAAAGTATGTGTGATTTGTGCTGATATCGTATCAGATTGATATCGGTATCGGTCAATACCGAAGGCTGCAATATCGGTATCGCATCGGAAGTGAAAAAGCAGAGGTTTGGATTCGAGTCACGTGACATGGACTCGAGTCAGACTTGAGTCATTATTTTAATGACTTCTGACTTGACTTGATAAAATCTATAAAGACTTACGACTTGAACGCCAACAACTTGCGACTTGAATCAACTTGCATCTGTTGACTTGATGATGACTTGAGCATATTTGATATTTTAGCACAAAAGTGGCACGACATGGACAAAAATCATAAATCATCCTTGGTTCTGGGTTTGATTTACTGCTAACTGCAGCAGCTCGTTGTTCATGATCAGTTTCAGTTGCACTTCTTGCTGTTTGAGCAAATAAATGAAGCTTTAAGAATCTTTATTTCTGGCATTTATTTATTATCATTGTAATTAAATTGAAGTTGGACAGATGACTTGAATATGACTTGAAAATTCAAAGTTAAGAACTTGGACTTGACTTGGACCTCCACATCATGGACTTTGGGCTCGACTTGCACTTGGTTGTCTTTGACTTGGACTTGAGACAACTGGAAAGGCTTGTGACTTGCTTGTGACTTGCAAAGCGGTGACTTGGTCACACCTCTGTGAAAACGTTGTATCGCGACATCCCTAGTTTATAATCAGACAGCCGTTATTTGCTTCTGATCACCACATGTTTGTGTTTAAGTGTCAGCATGTTATTGTGTGGATCACCGAGATGCTTTTCAAACATTTCACTCCTCGTTTTTCTCTCGCCCGTCCTGTGGGGTATAACCGCGCTTTCACCCCCATCGCTCTCTCTCTCTGTCTTCCTCTTACATCCCATCTCTGCAGGATTACAGCGGTTGTATCTGTCTCACTGTGTAGAAACAGGTGATATGATTATCACTACCCGTGATTTATTCATGCTTATAATTTATTCATGCCTACCTCTCCTCTTTGCTCATTTGTTTGTGCCACAGGATTGTGTTCTCTGCTTGAATGCTCAGACACCAGGTTTTACCAGCATTTGTAAAAATAAATCAAGCAAGCCTGAATTTATTGCTCTGCAGATTTAACTGTGGCTCAAACTTACATAAAACACACGCTCTCATGCATGAATACTCGAGGCCTTCAATGCAAATGATTCCAGAAACGATGGAAAACATTGATGGTTCTGGGTCTTCATCTGAAAACGTTTGAAGTGCTGAGCTGTAGCTGTCAGTGTCAGTGTGCCCTCCAACTTTATTCTACCTGGCTGTCATCACATTAGCCGCACACCTCCCCGTCTCTGCAGGCAGCCCAGCTCTGCTTTCCACCTTCCTTCTATAAATGCCTAATGCCCTCCTTCCTAATCTCCAGTTTTCACGATTGTTTTCACGGCCTGTTCAGAACGAGCACGGGGGACATTCTGAGGATTTTCTACAATTCCTGGGTTGCCGTGGTAGCCAGGCTCAGGTGGTGCTTGAGTAAATTGAAACAGCGTGAGGGATAAAGCTTGAGTGTGCACACACGTGTGTGTGTGTGCGCGCGCGAGACAGAAAGGCAGGAGGAGAGAGGCTGTTGGAGGATTTGCTGAATCCACGCGCTGACTGAGATAAGAGAGCGTAGCCCCACTCATGGTGGGTTAGTGCAGTGTCCCAGCTAATAGACCGCACCGTCACCTGGGAGAGAGTTTTCATTGGTGTACTACAGAGTGTTTGAGTAATCCCTGGTTTTTTTGTTTGTTTGTTTTGTTTTCTTTGCCCCCGTCAGATTCGTGCCCGGTGCTGTGCAGCGGGAACGGTGTGTATGAGAAAGGGAGGTGTGTGTGCCTGGCAGGGTGGAAGGGGACAGAGTGTAACGTGGAAGAAGGGCAGTGCATTGATCCCACCTGTTCCAACCACGGCACCTGCATACAGGGCATCTGCATCTGTGGCCCGGGCTACAAGGGGGTCAACTGTGAACAAGGTGAGTCTAAACACCCAAACATAATAAGGCTCGATTCACCAGCTGAGCAGAAAGAGCTCGCCTTCCAACTCTAAAATGAAGGCTCGTGTAAGAAACAGCACTGACTGTGGATTCCACCAGATGATGATGATGATGATGATGATGATGAATCACATTTAAATTACAGATAGAGTCACCTAAACGACGCATAAAGACTGACTGAATATAGGTGATATCCTGATGCCTCCATTTAATTACATTTCAGTCTACGAGAGCCTGGATTTCCTTTTGCTGGCGTGGGCTTCACTAATCAGTCATCCTCCAGTGCTGACGGGAGTAAACAGCATTTAGATCAAGTTAGCTTTCATTTGATCAGCCCAAAAACCACAATTCACCCTCAGGCCTATTCACAACATTAGACTCGTGGAGCATGGTTCAGCTGGACATCACGTTGTATTTTGAGAATTACTTATTCCCCATGATGATTTGTTTTCTTTTGCAAATCCTAAATAAAAATTTAAAAATGCCGTCTAGCAGCTTCATTCTTCGCTAAAGGATCCATAAGAGTAACGGATGAATTTTCTGCTGAAATTCTTGTTTTGCGGATAAACCATCAACCCAGAGAACAAATTATTTTATTATGAAATGGATCTGCTGGTGACCTGGAACGTGTTGGCTCGACAACGTCCAAAGTCCATGTATCGGCCCGTAGACGATTAACTTTGCCAAATGTTCTACGTTGTTTTCAAGAAAACACGGATGCATCTGTAAGCTCACGGTTCCCCGATTCACTGATAATCAGTGTTGGGCAAGTTACTTCAAAACTGTAATGCATTATTTATTACTTGTTACCCTCAGTTTAAAGTACTTCATTACATTACACTATTACTGATTTTAAAATGTAAGGCATCACACTACTTTTGCATTACTCTGTTACTTTCACCAATACAACTTCAGTATGAATCTGGTCATGTGACGCTCAGTGAGCTCATGACATATATGTGGAAGGTGATGTGGTGTCTGAACTAGGATTGCTGTTAAACACAGTCAGATATAATAACAGTGCTTTAAAATGATTGTTTATTAAATAAAAGCAACAACAATCTGTACTCTCAGCACGCTGCCATCTTATATTAACTGATCAGGGAGTGGGGTGGTGGGGGCTCTAAGCCTATATTTGCCTTGGTCCCCAAATGCCTTGATACGGCCCTGGATGTGGGACTGACTTCTGGTGTGATCTGATTCTATCACATGTATAAATATTAAATGCTTATATGTTATTGCTTTTCACTGGTAAAAATGTGTATTGGGGATAAATCTACCTACTTTTTTCTTTTTTTCTTGATTTTATTTGAATAATTTCCGGCCCTTTCTCTCTCTAACCGTCCTGCATGCTGCATGTTTTCTCCGTCTTCCAGAAAAACTGTTTCCTAGACTTCCTACTTTCTATCAGCCAAAGGGATCTTCACATGCGCGGCGCTCCAGCAGCAATGAGTTGAAATCACCGCGGCACAGATTATGAACTCAGCTGAGGCAAAGCACGTCAGAAAAGCACAAAATACCAGAGAACATGCGCTGATATGAACGATCGCAAGTGAATTATTTTGTTTTAGTGGAGCGATTTTGTGAATGTTGCAGCGGCCGCGTGCAGGACGCAGCTGGAGTAGCTGAGCCGTTACCGCTGCGTCCTCTCTGCCCGCAAAGCTGAGTCCATAAATGACGTAATATATGCAGATACTGGATCTTTCTTCGGGTTTTCCGCAATTTGAATTTTTAAGGAACACATCTTGATTCTGGGTTTAAAAATGCATTGTAATTACCGCGTTACTGACGATTGTACCGAGTAAATATTACCATTTTCTTTCCCTGTAATGCCTTACATTACCACATTACAGCAAAAAGCAATGCATTACAGTAATTAATTACTTTTGTACCGCATTACTCCCAACACTGCTGATAATATTGTGCTTTTCCTGACAGGTTATTCCTTATGAGTCACGTTTATTAGTATATAACTCGTTGTTCTTTTGAATTCACAAATTATGAGCAGAAACTGCTGTTTTAGGCTACTTTGTTCTAAATTTGCTAACAGTAGCTTATGTTTGTTAGCCGTTCCAACTAAACGGCTCTCTGTGTCATGAAACATCCAGCACAAAGAAATACAAGTGCAATAGAAACGCTCCTCCTTGTAAACAAGCCAATAAATGATGACAAACAAACAGTGTAATGATGAAATCAGTGAGCCGGTCGTGAGAGAGTGAGAGCTGATGGCCCTGGCCGCCGTCGTAAACCCTCCCTGCTGCCGCCGACCTCAGAGCTGCAGCCTGTAAAGACTGATTCAGGTGTGTGACCTTCAGCGACAGCCGAATCGAGCTAAGCCCAACTCTGCTGAGCTTTGGCTCTATGCTCAGGGCTGTAATTACACACACTAACACAGCGTAGCACAAACCACCCCAACACACACTCACCAACCCGTTTCAGCCCTTATCATAGCTGCAGCTCTAAGTGTCCTATGAAGTGTAATGTTGTGGAACAGCAACAGGGATTTAGCTGGGGTGGTTAACTCCTGGACGGGATGCAAAGAACACTTTTTTCATACTCTATGGGCTGATGATTACAATGAGGCCCCCCCACCCTCCCACCCATTCTCCTCACCTCTGCCTCGCTCCCTCTCATCCTCCCTCTGTCTGCAGTGGACTGTGTGGACCCCCAGTGCAGCGGGCATGGCGTGTGCGTGCGCGGGGAGTGCGTGTGCTCGGCAGGGTGGGCCGGCGTGAGCTGTGACGACCCTCTGCCAGCCTGTCAGGAGCAGTGCTCAGGACATGGCACCTATCTCCCAGAGTCAGACTCTTGTGTCTGCCAACCCAACTGGACGGGACCGGACTGCTACACGGGTAAGAGACGAGGATTAAGCTTCACTTTAGACTAAAAAATAAATAAAATAAAATAAACGCAAATGAAAAATGCTCTCCTTTAGCTCTCAGTGTGGTCCGGCTGATGGTATTTCCTGACGTGAGAGGGTTTTAAGAGCGTGTGCGTGCACGTGCTCATGTAATGCACTCACTCTTTAAAAAATAAAATTTCTGCTCGTGACTGCAGCCCTCCAAGTCACACTAGGACACCGCTGACTTCACGCTGCAACACACAGTGTGTACTCATGAGCACAGATCTAAACGCATGTACACACCCCCGTTTGGACACACACTTCTCTTCAGCTGAATGAGAAAAATAAAGTGCCAGAGAGGAAAGAAAAAATTCAAACGATGCTGCAGTTCCTGTCACATGCTGCAGCTACTAGGAACTCAGCGTGGCATCTAAGGGCCTGTTGTATTCTTGTTTACCTCGATATTAGCGAGTGGCTGTTAAATTTTGCTGTGAAAGCTTTTGTACCACTGTCACTACCTTCAGCTGGTGAAAATAACAGAATCAGCCCTGTGCTGATTATGGGGAAGCTAGCCGCTGTGGCTAAGCTAGCCATAGCTAGCTCAAGGGGAGGACATGATGCAGCAGAGACGGACACAAGTGTTGATGTTTATCAGTGTCTGTTGCTTCAGTGTTTTTAGATCTTTCGTCAGAATTTCAAAGACTTTGATTCACAAATATGTTGTTTATGCAAAGTGTCAATATCTGCAGTGATGGCCGTCAATTCTCTTTTCTGGGATCCCCCCAATTCATCCTGGCATGCTGTCAGTCAATTTCCGGTCCAAATCCTGATTGATGGCAGCTCATTTTTCTATTACTGCTTGGAGTTTGTGAGAATGTGTGGACTGTTCTTTGTCTTTTTGTCTCTTGAGGATTGAACAAAAGTTCTAAATAAGATCAAGTTTCCTTCCACTCACTTTAATTGTCTTTGTCTGGTTTTGACTTTAGCTTCGATTCAAATCAATTCAGTTTGTTGTGCTAACTACCCAAACGTTTTAAATCTAAGGAAACCCATCAGATTACATTGAGTCACTGACTTGTCATGTCAGTGACTTTACAGCAGTCCCCATACAAACCAAGCATGTAGCGACAGTGGAGAGGAAAACTCCCCTTGGACAGGAAGGAAGGGAACCTGGCTCTGTGTCTGATTTGGGGTTTGAGAAGACAGAGCAGACACAAAAATGAACTGATGAACTAGTAGTAGCACTTAAAGGGCATTCAATTAAAAATCAGGAGAGAGAGAATGTTCAGTGGTTGGGTGCCAGCCGATGGCGTCCTCCAGTAAGGTTTAACAGCTCAGCAGAATGCAGACCTGGTTTGGCTTCGTAGCCCGGTGCTCCATCCTGCTGGGAGGAGTTCATCTGGGAGGATGTTTAGGAACCATTTTTTATTCATGCCTAAATGTAAGTACACTCTGTTGGCTGATGGTCATCAGAGGACATGCCCTTCCTCCAGAGCTTCAGCAGACCATCTGCTTGTCCTAGATGTTTTCTCGGAGAGAAGTGGCTTCTTTGCGGCTCATATTTAATCCAGGCTGTCCTCCTAAAAGTCTAAGCTCTGCACTGATGGAGTCCAGATCTCACCGCTGGAGCAAGGTCAGGAAAACGTCCTGGTGCAGCTGCACTTTCTTTGGTGTCACAAATGTTGTTTGGTGGATTAATCTCACTTGCATGGCAAAGAGAGAATTTGCATTTGATCTGATCTTTCTCCTTAACATCCTGGAGCTCAGACAAACGGCCAAACTAAAGCAGCACACTGACGATCACATCATACTTAAAGGTTATGGTTGCACGTGCATGCTACGGTTGAAAGAAGCGGTTTCACCATTCACACCGAGTATTTGCAGATCATGGCCTACTCTCAGGTGCATGCATGCTTTATTGTGAGAATAAGGCTCATGGTAATGATGAACCGTGGTTGAATATCAGAGAAACGAGCCTCCTCCCTTCTACCTGCCGGGCCTTTAATCAAAAAGGACCCATCGATTCTGTCCAGGTCTTGTTCAGGCATAGCAAAGTTAATGTCATTCTAATAGAGAGCTGAAAAACTCTTCAGCTTGGATCCGCTTTTTTTCTACTCACTCTCCACGCTATGTATATTTAAATTGAAATAAGTTTTTACTGCAGCTGGATAAGTAGGCTTTGCGCGCCTCCAGCACTTTGCTCTCTTTACTGATGGATGAGGCTTTGCCTCTGCAGAGGGAGTGAGAGCTCGATGGTGAGGAGTGCACAGAGAAAGGAGGAAATGCACAAAGAACGGGAGGAAGATATTAAAGGGATGTTGCAAAAGGGAGAAAGAGGGGAGAGGGGAGAGAGCCGACAGAGACGATGATGGAAGTGTGTGGTGACGGAAGGGGTATTAGCAAACCCACTAAATCTGATCAAAATGTCAGAAAAGAATAATGGAGCTGAATTGGGGCTTTAGTGGTTTAAATATGTGCTGCAAATACAAATCATTTGGCCTTTTTTATGAGTCGATTCACTCGTCTTCTTCAGGGAGAAGAGCTATTAGAGGTGAGAAGATTGTGTATTGTGAGAAAGTAGATTTTGTTCGTCTCTGAGGTTATCCCTCTCTATCGCTTTTGTTTTTTTTCATACTCTCTTACCTAAATGCAACGGCTCGCCCTCAATCCTGCTTTTGCAAACTTATTTTCTCCCTTCCGCGTGTCCCCGGTGCCTTTTCTAACTTATTTTTCCTTGCAGTGCTCAGTTCCACCATCTGTTCCCCCCTCCCTCTCATTCTCCTTGTCCTCTCACACTTACACGCTTTCTTTCTTTCCTCGTTTTTTTTTTTCCTCACGCGTGTCTCCGCCCACCTGCTCGACAGAGCTGTGCCCGGTGCCATGTGGCAGCCATGGCGTTTGCTCAGAGGGCCAGTGCCAGTGTGAGGAGGGTTGGATCGGCGCCGCGTGCGACCAGAGAGCGTGCCATCCTCGTTGTGAAGAGCATGGCCAGTGTCACGACGGGACCTGCATCTGCCAGCCCGGCTGGGAGGGGGAACACTGTAACATCGGTGAGCTGCGTCTCGCGTCAGCGTGAGAGTGTGTGCTTGCGTCGCGTGAAACTTAGGATCTTCATGAAGGTGTCAGAATTATTCTCCCTTTCTTTGTTTCCTCAGTTACTCATGATCTGGACGTTGTGGTGAAAGGTAATTTATTTATGTTGAAGAGTTGAATGTCATGCTTCCAGATACCCACGTGTGTGTGTGTGTGTGCACGTGTGTGTTGTGACATGCGTGCACGTGGGACTTGTCTTTGCAGACGGCTGCCCGGGGTTGTGCAGCGGGCACGGGCGCTGTACCCTGGAGCAGAGTGGCTGGCGCTGCATCTGCCAAGCTGGATGGAGTGGGCCTGGATGCAGCGTTGTCATGGAAACTGACTGCAGTGATGGAACTGACAATGATGGAG